GAATCCACAAGCAAAGTAGAAATATATTGCGTGAACGAACATAGAGAGGAAAAGGGTCAATCAACAAGTGCATAAATAATAATACAGGTAGATAGCAGTACAGTATATTTTGGAATTAAACGACACAAGGCGTCTGGTTGAAAAACATGAATTTTTATTAAATTAGTTCGTGTTGCCAACGTTGTTTGTCATTGCCGGGATGCCAACTTGACGTGTTGGGAAGGAAGAGAGAGAGAAAGAAAGTTCCCAACCATCGTCAAGTTGGCTGAACTGGATGAGACAAAAAGAAATGGGAGCGTAACTTAATGCAAACACAGCCCGTAGATCGGCGCCCTTGGAACCAATGAAGGCCAAAAAAAAAATGAAGATGTGTAGACGTTGCTGGATTGGTTGTTGATGTTTTTACCAGGATGATCTTTGTTTGGTTGTTGAAGCTGACCGTTGGCCGCCGACAGCCTCCTGCGAATCTAGGGAGAAATCACTGTCTTGTGTCGAGGGGGACCAGCAAGAGAAATTGGCTAAGCTAACCGAAAAGTCTCTATAAAAAAATACTACAAAGTTATCCAAAGATAACTATGGTCTAAAAATGACTAGAAGTATATTACAACTAGGTTTGTAATATAGCCTAACTAAAAAAGGGGATTTGCTGGTCCCTCTGACGTGTTAACAGTGTGTAAGGAGCATGAATGAGAGGTCAAGGTCGAAAAGACCTGTTCCTCTGCTGGTTCAAGGACAGAAGGAGGAGGTAACTCCGACAAGCTTTTACGTACTTGTAATTCTGCTAAATTTGAGAACAAGGCCTTGTTAAGTTGTTTGTAATTGAAGGGAAAACTAGAAAAATATCAACATATTTAAAAGATCAACCTCCATAAAAGTGGACTGTTCAGATGTGTTTCTTTGATTTCCTTTAAAGCTTTTCATTGTCTCAGTTTTTGTTTTGAATAACCTTGAGCCAGTTTTGAATATCGCGTGTCGAACGAGAAAGGATTTCTCTGATGGGCCTTTTTATTTTTTAATTTCCAGTACAAGCCGTCATAAATTTTCTGTTGGGATATTTTTTAAAGGGTTGTGACATCTTATCGTTCTTGAAATAGTTGTGATAAATTTTATATTAACTTTAGACAAATTATATTCAGTTGCAGTCATTATTAAATTGGTAGGTAGTATCATGTTCCTTGTTTTATCAAGATTATTAAGATTATTTTTCCTTTTTTTTGGTATTATTTCTTCTTCGTTTTGTGTATAAAGTAACTAAAATAGGATTTTCTTCATTATGCAAATATGTTTACCTTCTATCGGCATGGCTGATGCTAACCTCCAGGAGAGCAACTCATTGCGTTTTCTTGGTCGCACGTTTTCTACTGATATGAAGTGAAATGATTATATTGAATCACTTGCTAAGTCTGCTGTTAGGAAAGTTGGTGCACTGTGTCGTGCGAGAGAATTTTTCTTGTAAGAATTCATTTTGTACGATTATAAATTTACCATTCGTTCGTTCATTCATTGCTGCCATATCTGGTCTGCTCCTCCTCCTATATATCTCGAGATTCTCGACAAAATCCAAAGAAGAGTCTGTAATGTTATCGGTCCTGACCTGGCATCTCGACTGTCCGACCGCCATAACGTGGCATCCCTGTGTCTAACGTTCATCTATGCATTGAATATTGCTGTCGCATCTGGTCTGGTGTTTCTGCTATGTATTTACTTGATAAAATCCAAAGAAGAATCTGCAATGTTATCGGTCCTGACTTGGCATCTCGATTTCAGTCACTTTCCCCCGACCATAACGTAACTTTCCTGTGCCTTATCTATAAATATTTTCATGATAATTGTTCTAATGAACTTTTCTCTTTGGTACTTTCACTTTACGAATTTCATCACCTGTTATACTGAAATGCGACATGCAGATAGTCTGTCGAGATTAATCTCTAAGTGTGGAAGTTTACTGTCTTTGCCTTGATAAAAGCTGACGAAGTAATAAAATATATGGAATAAAATAAGAGCGATTACGAAAGAGGATATTAAGAGTGTATCCCAGAAAGACGACAGTATTATAAAAAGGAGTGAATATCTGAGAAGTGGTAAAAAAGGAAAAACAAATGAATTAAAAATTGTTCGGTGCTAAAGAAAAGTTATTTGTTTAATGTATGGAGAACGAGTAGAAATACCAGAGACTTTGCAAAAACAAATATTGAAACAGTTCCACGGTGAACACCCTGGGATATCTCGCATGAAACATTGATGCGAAGTTATGTATACTGGAAGTGCATGGATCAGCATGCCGAAGATCTAGTGAAGCACGCCAAGACTGTGCATTGACAGCTAAATCATCATCAGTAAAATTATTCAACCTTGGCCAAAAACAAAAAAAAAGGTTACATATGGATTATACAGGACCAATGAATGGCTGCTACTATTTAGTAATAGTAGATAGTTTTTCTAAGTAGCCAGATGTGGTAAGATGTAGAATAGCGACAACCAGGGGTACCATTGAAATATTAGAAGAACAGTTTTCCCGATTTGGAATTCTGGGCACAATAGAAACAGATAATGGTATACATATTACGGCAGCCGAATTCAAGGGATTTTGCAGTGAACAGACCGCCGAATATGTACCCGAGATCAAATGGATACGCAGAAAAATTTGTAGATACTTTTAAGAGAGCCTTGAAAAAATCGAGTGGGGGAGAGGAAATGGAAGAGTTGACAGTACTTTGCCGGCAAAACAAATGTTTTAATCGGAAAATAACAACGAATACACTGATAAATAAATTATAGGTACCTCCACGAGATCGCTAAAAAAAAAGAGCATAGCATGATGAAAAAGACGCCAAACTTGACGAAAACAAAATTTTATCGTCTAAATGTTTATGTTATTATTAAGCGGAAAGATCAAAGTATTTTTAGGTTTTTTATTTTTACATTTTTTAATCGTTTCTAGCATGTCCGAAATTTTCGTTAAAAATCTTGTTTTTTTTTTGAGTCAGCAAAATTGACATATAATCGATCATGGCAACCATTTTTTTCCATTTTATAAAAAAAATAAAAATCTCTGTTTGAAATTCTACAAAAAATCAATTATCATTTTTTCAAAACTTATTTTAAGAAAATCAGAAATTATAATGTTTATTTAAAATATTTTGAACCAAGCTTAACTTAGCTTCTGCGCCGAAAAGATGTAATTTGAAAATAAAACAAAGCAGGTCATAAACTTTCGCGTCACTTGACAGGTGATGAATGACATATTGAAGGATTATGTGAGGATAATTTGTTCTGCGGAAGGAGAAAAGTGAAATTATTTAGATTTAAGTGAACAAATTATTTACCTCATTATTTTTAAGGAAAACTGTCAGTGCTCAATTTTTTTTGTTTTTTGTACTTAGCTTTCACCTTTACGTTTACGATGCTTTATGGAAAATATATTATAAAGAAATTAAAATAAGACTGTTAAGAGTGAGATTAAATTTCATAAGAAAGGTATCTAATTAATTTATAGGTACTTTTCTTATAAAATTTTATCAGAAGCGTACATAAAATACTATAATTTTATGTACATTTACTACATTTTAGTGTTATTTGTATTTCCATTCATTTTATTATTAATTTTGATATTTCATTCATGGAAAAATGTCATAACTGACATTAATATAAAAATAAGATCATATAAATTTCATAAGATGATAGTGATAATTGTAGGTACCTTTCTCAGTTGAAATTGAAAAATCAAATTAACTTCTCCACACGTGTTTCGCAAAAGTAAAGGCCTTAACAGCGGAGAACAATGCTTAACTCAAATAACGCAACTTAATTGTATTCTAGTTGGTCTTCCGCACATTATAATTACAGTCCGATTATAAACACAAAATTACATTTCGTAATTACTGCGGGCCTTCTGATTAGTCAAAACGATACAATTTACAACGCGCTAAAAAAAGATCTATCTCATAAGGACACTTACGAAAGCGGATGCGGCTTTAAACTAAGTTTATAATATTTTAACAACTTAAATGTAAAGATCTATTATAATTGAAGAAATAACAAATAACTGTATTAAAAATTCATTTTTCATCGAAAAATTTTTTTGCTTTCAGAAACATTGTCAATATTCATAAAAACAACTAAAAGCAAATAAAACTAAAAGCATTTGAAATTAAATAATATCTTTGTTTTATTGGGTTTTGTATGTTACAATTCAGAGCTGATTTTCAGGTGAGGGTCCAATTAAAAAAAAAAATGATTTGCATTCCTCAAAGCCTTGTGCTTTTAACTATTGTAATCACTAAGGTGGATTCGATCGAATTTCTAGAGTTTTTATAAAATTAGTTAGGGAGAGGTAATAAATATAAAACAAGTATTTCTGCCATGACTTTAATAAAAAAAACAACAACATATTTATAATAATTTCGATCATCTGTGAATAGTTTCTGAAAGTTTCATTAACATCAGACAATTATTTTTATTATTGCAAGATTTTCCAAATTAATGTGTATCATACAAAAAAAAACGTGCTAAAAATTGTATGTTATTTTACTAGTTCGGGTGATACAAAAAGAAACAATTTCTTTTTTTTAATCAAAATTTAGAAGAAGGAAAAGTTTTAAAAAATAATTAAAATAAACTTTGGTCTTTCGTCTTCATAATAGCATAAACATTTAGACGATAAAATTTTGTTTTCGCCAAGTTTGGCATCTTTTTCATCATGCTATGCTCTTTTTTAACGATCTCGTGGAGGTACCTAATAAATTACAACCTTTTTCCGAAAAGGTCAACCGGTATTATTTCAGCTTTACCAGGTAAACAAAAATGGGAACCAGGAAGGATCTACAAACGTATTAGCAATATTTGATTCAGGGGAAAATGGCCGACACAATAGGCATATAAATCAATTAAGATCCAGGTGATATAAAGAAAGGTGTCAGACTTTACTTAATTATTGGAGCGACTAGGTCAATTTTTGATACCCACTCAGGTTGTTAAAAACAAGACATTTTTTTTATAGTTTATACTATACACCGAGCGACGAAGTGGATTGCCCGCAGTCTATAAATGTGAGAACGGTACTTGGGGCGGAGGGGGGCAGCAAAAACCGTATTTAGCGGTCGTCTGAGAAAATACAGTAGTAATCTGCAGCTGGACTTATTCTAAAAGTGACTGGACTCAACTAAGTAATAGTCACATTATAACAAGTACAACATTTGATTGGCAGCTAAGTTTCATCATTACATTTGGATGTAACCGTAAGTTCTATGCTAACAGTTTCTTCTCTCGCACTTCTCGCTTGATGGAACTCTCTTCCGATCTCTTGTTTCCCTGTTAACTTTAATCTTCAAAAGTTTAAATGCAATAATCTGTTATCTTCTGTCTTCTTATTTCCTGTTCTTTTATTGTTTCTCTCCTTAACGTTTTTTTCTTTTACATTCAGTAATCCATTGCATTTTAGTTGCCTTTCTTGAAGTGCAATGATTTTTTAAAAAGCAAAATGTTTGATGTAAATATTATGTAAAAGAGCTACACAAATGTATTTCGAATAGAAAGATAAACTTAACAAGTATAATATTTATTGTGTAGACAAGCAGAACATTAGATTTTAAGAAAACCTTTGCAATTGATGGTTTACTGTCTTATAATACAATATAAAACACAAAGATATTCTATAAACAAGGTTTCTTTCCAAGGTACTAGCTGAATATTCATCTTCTAAAAGTAAGTTCATGTTTTCAGCATTTCTTAAATGCTATAGCAAAAGGGGGCATCAATATTTGTTGGTTTCTTATTGCTTTATTGCTTTTATAAAGATTATCTAAATCTTATGGTATCAGAAATTGAAATAGTTCATAAGAATTTATTTTCCTTTTTTATGAATCCCTATCACCGGAATTCAAACACATAAAAACTTAAAAAATAATATTGTGATACTGAAATCAAGAGGGCACTTTAACGACAAGAAAAAATCTTAATATAAGGAAATGTATAAAAACTGATATACTAATGAAAACTGCGCTAGCATCTTTGTAACACCACTAGAAGCAATCATTTCATCTACCCTCTGTTCAAGAATTTCCAAAGGTACACTTCCAGTCTTCAGTATTGTATCATGGAAATCTCTGATATCAAATGAAGCACCTACAAAGAAAAAATATTGAATATTTAATAGTGGAATTAAATCTGAATTGGTTAACTGATTGAAAGTATAAGCTTTCAATGGAATTATCTATTTGTGAAAATATTTGTTTTGAATAATAGATTTGAGCAAATAATATTATTTGAGTTTTATTTTCAAAAACCCATTAGATATTCACATTGTATTATCAGATGAATTAATCTGAATTCCCAAAATCTGTTTATTTTCCCTTTCTATGCAAAATGCATGTTATCTTTGTGCCAATGGAAAACAAAAGCAGTACAATCTGAATCTCTGACAAAATTTTATAACTATGCTTTCAACTTGTACATACTAATTTCTCATTTAAAACAAATAAATACAGTTTTAAAGTATGATTATCAACAAAAATCAAAGGTTATAGTATTTTTGTATAAATAAGAGGGGATGTAGTTAAGTGTATAATTTGAAAATACTATAATAAATGCAAATCGGAAACAAGTTCTCGAACAAAAGTTTTCTTTTAACTACAAATAAATTTTACTTTCTTAATGAATTTTTTTAGGAAGCTTTAAGCAATGTTTGTCATTCAAAACATTTTTCAATATGCTTTTGCCAAATTCTTTTTCTTGGTTTTCATTTCTTTTTAAGTATACTTTATTTACGGTGATAAGCTCAACAAAACCTACAAGTAAATATACAAGCAGACTAATATTCATAAAAATCAATCACTTTCTCTAATGCACAGTAGTTTCGACGATCTTCACAGCATTCATTGAAATTGCAACAGATCAGTATGAAAATTACATCAGAACATAGAAGAAATGAGCATAAAACAAATAAGTTCAAAAGATTAAAGCAATTGCTGACCAAATCAAAAGTAATGACTTTTGTTTTCTTATACTGAGTGTAATTGGTCTCTTTTGATAACAAAATAGAAAAACGCACCCTTCAACGTTAGTAACTTAAATTTGAATTGTTAGCATAAAGCAAAGGCATCATTCTGTCTCTTTACTGCAGTAAAATCTGCTTAAATTGAAACCCAAATAATGTCAAGGGGTTTACATCTGGACTGCAAATTAAAATATTCTGTGAGTTACATTAGAAGATAAGACGTCTCATTCAAATCTCATAAAAAATAATTTACCAAGAACTTTTACGGCTTTTTGTCTAAGTTGAAGGATTTTAATTTCGCCAATTTTATAGGCACATGCTTGTCCTGGAAATGTTATGTATCGATCCACTTCAATTTGTGCATTTGCTAAACTTGATCCAGTGTACTTCATTAAAAGCTGGATTCCCTCTTCACGAGTCATGCTGAAAAAATGACAACAATAATAATTTTATTTATTTATTTGGTATCTTTATAAGAGGATTAAATGTCACAAAATAAATTTTATTATGAATAAGAAATGGTACAGTATTTTGTAATTCGTACATAGATTTGTTCAATGTGTCATTTTATCCTTTCACCAGGTTTAAGGCAGGTTAATTATTCTATCCTCCCAAAACTCGTCATCTGAATGATGAACTGGTCAAAGTGATTTTAACAGCCTTCTACATAATTTTATAGAGATTGAAATAAACAGTAATTCAGTGATGCAGGTCCAAATGAGTACGGCGGGTGTAATTGGAAACCGCAGCCAAGCTGTACCAATTTCTACTGGACCTGCGAAGAGATGTAAGGTCTGGTGTTGTCCTGATGGAAGACGATAGCCCTAAAATTGTTCAATTCTGGATGCTTTTGATTGATTGCTACTTTTAATTGGTCCCACTGGGAGCAGTACTTGTCCTAATTTAATGTCTGATTTTGCGGAAAAGGCTCGTATTACACAATATCCTTTTAATCGCGTCATCTTCGTAATAGTTAACAGTAGTTCATTTCGTTTTCCCTGGGACGTTTTATTTTGCTCCACATTGCTGTAAACAATCCATTTTTCATCGCCTGTAATTATTCTTTTAAAAAATGGGTGTTTTTATTGCGTTTGAGTAGAGAATCCGAGATGTAAATGTGATCACTTAAATTTGTGTCCGTTAAATCGCGAACTATCAAAATATTTTAACGATTCACGTATCCAAAAAGCTTTTTAAAATTTTTACAACGTTCATACCAGATATGTGGAGTGTCTCCACGATGACCTGTGTCGTGTGACCTTGATTATTTTTAATCAACATTTTGATTTGAACATCATCAACCACTGCAGACTATCGTAACCCTGGCAACTCTCTACACTTGACCTAGACAGACGCTTCGACCTTGACCTTTACATTGTGTTCCCTACACACTCTGAAATTTAATTTCATTTAGTTTCATAATTGACTTAATGACTGTTTAGTTCTTTTTGTCTTAAGCAACTAGTCGTAATACACTTCGTGACCATTGTATATCTTCATATTTTGTAGAAAATCTCAGCTTATTTTTTCTTGAGATTTTTTAGTATTTTGCGAGACTGTAGTTGTTGTTAGACTCCATTCATATAAGTGGGCTACTTCTCGCCTAATTCAGAGAGTCGGAGACTGGGAGGAGAAACGCTTGCACCTGGCCATTGATTGATTTAAAAAAAATACGAAATCACTGAATTAAAGTATACAAATCTCAATGTTAAAATCACTGTGGATCAGAATGAGAAGTGTTTTCGTAACAATTTTACAATAGTCCATTTTGTAACTGTAATAAACATTTCGAACTTACAAATGGAAGAAAGATCATGTAAACAACGTGTAAAGTGTAACATGGCAATGGCACTGACTGTCATATTAGTGCATGAAATATTATTGAGAGACGTAGTAATCCTGAGCAAAAGTTCGATTTAAAATATTAATAAAAATACTCATGAGAAAGGTGTCAAAACCAAAATGCCTGGTTCTGAGTACTTTAGAAGTATGGGTCGTGAGCAATGCTAATAGGAAGTTAACAAAATGGATCTTTTCGTAATTATTCAAAGCCCCCGTTATCTAATGGTAAGCGTACACGCACTTTATTCAGTTTACGCTAGACATTTTTCAGGACCCCACTAACATCCATTTCATCAAAATTCTAACAGCAGTGACACCCTGTATGTATGTGATATGCCACGTGGTTTGGTTGGATAAAATGTAGGTTGTCCATGCGAAGTGAAAACGGGAAGTCTTGTCACTACAGCTATTATACCACTTTATACAATGCCGCCTAGTGGGCATTGGGGGATGTTTCCTGGCAGATATTGTGAGGTGATTCCGCGGGTGTATCAATTCAGAAAGATCTGAATTCATATGGATAAATCAGAAAAAAACCCTAATTTATATCAAGAAAACCAAACACGTCATAGAAATTTCACTTTGACTACACTGTAAGAACTGATTGTTATCTCATCCTTCCTCCATTATTTGTGGTAGAATAATATCTAAATCAATAATAAAATGTTACAAACGCCACGAGAGACGGAAATAAAAAAATATTGATCAGACATCGCCTCAGATTAATATTCTAACAATTTCTTATTCAAAATGTCTACAAATCAACTTACTTTTTTGCATGTATACCAGTGTCAATTACTAGGCGACATGCCCGGAATATTTCAAAGGAATAACGTCCCATTCTGAAAAAAAATTCCAATATAAAATGAAACAAAGGGATATAACTTTTATAAGAAAATAATGTATTTTAGCAACAAAGTTTATAATTTGTAATCCCTGGTTGTGTCAAAATAAAAAAATTTAGTTTTTCCAATTCAGTTCTGACTATTGAGTAACGAAATCAAACAAGACTGAAGTTTATCAAAGCAGAAGAAATAAGACCTTTCATATTCTTTAAAGCTCAATAATTTGCAAACATGTAAGGCAGTAAGGATAAAAAATATATATTAAAATTTAATAATAAATCTTACAAGTCATAATCCGTTTCGTATAAACCCATTTCTTCGCCAAGATATTCGGAATACAAACCCCATCCCTGAAAAAAGAAAAAGTTTGAAATTGCAAAAATATATCCGAAATCTATTACAGTGATTGTAAGTTAATTTTTTTCTTTTCTTTATTTTCCCCAAATTAATTAATAATGAGTAGTTTGTATTTCTTATTTTATGAATTCAGTTTTGTAAACAATTGCGGTAAAAGAGAAAAAAAGTAAAAGAGCTTAGATCTTCAATAAAATTATTAACTGAATGAAAATTGTGACTACTTAAGACATCACTCGCATTTTTCTTGTGAATTCAAAGTACAATACAAGGATACTGTTGCGGAAATTTGTGCTAATTTGGATGTGTCAGAAGGTGAAATTGTGTGAAGGCTTAAAAATGTGCGTGTTCGTTAAATATTCATCCACAACAAATAAAATAAACAAACATTTGAAGGCAATTCAATTGGAAGAAATCAAGGCGAAACAACGTAGTTATAGATTTCAACAAATGACATGCATTTATATACGTTTGATATACACAAAGTGAATTTAAGATTGCTTGTTCAATGTGATAAGTGAGATAAAATTGTAAGGAGTGACCATGCAGTGATTTGGTGTATGAAAGCTTGTAGTTAACAGTTTTCTTTCTGCAAGGTGAAATGGCACTTGTATGGGTTCAAATATTAATGTGTATGTGTGCGACAATTGTAAATATTGTTTAAAGTCATAAGGAGTTATGTGCCTTTGACTGATATGATGTAAGTATGTATGACTAAATACAATTACTACTTCAGTAGTGATTATGTCACTTTTTCTAGTAAATTGTAAGTTGGGTCAATTCGTGCGGCAAGACTTTCTAAATTGTGTTGAGCTGCTGAGGGAGAGAGAGTGGCGGTTGTTGAGTCAGTGTGCTAGCGCGCGTGGAGTTTGTTGGCATCTCTCAAAGACTTAGTTACTCTCTGGTATGCTGAGGTTGATTAAATGTACAATTACTATGTCATAGTGGTAATGTCACTTTTTTAGTCAATTGTAATTTAAGTATCTTCACGCGGGAATAGCTGTGTGGGTTGTGTTGAGCTGCTGAGAGAGAGTGGTGGTTGTTGAGTCAGTATGTCGGCACGCGTGGAGTTTGTTGGCATCTCTCACAACTTAGTTACTGACAATATTTATTCCTGTAAAAATACAGCAAATGGAAAATGTTTCGAAAAAGAGGGGTGGGGAACGGTCATCACTTGTCTTAATTTTAATGACCCAGTCATACAAAACAATATTCCTACCACCAAAACAACACATTCATACTTACCTTTCTTACTACATCCACCAAAATACCTCATTGTCTCAATGAAAATCCTAAATAGATCCCATATGTACAGATCGTTGTCTGCGAGGGGAGGGGAATAAAAAACAACAAGCTAAAAACACCCCAATGATTATATACAATATGGTTATAAACTATTTACAAAAAACTAAACAAAATCATGTTAGTAATAAAACTCCCACATGTGGCGGAAATATCAGTTAACTGGACGAAATCGATGCGGGACTATAAAATATAGAAAACATTCATCCATCCCAAGCACTCACACAGACATGCTCTCATTCTGATACAACACATACGAAAACACACACACACACACACACGCGCGAAACGAAAGGCTCCCCGCATCCACCAGGGAACTGACATCACTGACCACCTAACGAGGGAGGAGATGGGAAGTTAAACTAAAGGAAAAAAAAGGACATAAATAAAAGGGGCCAATGAGCAAACACACCCTAGCTAAGTTTACTGGAAAAGAAAAGGAAAACTAAAGAATCAAATACAAAAACCTAAAAAAAAAAAAGCTAAAAAAGCCTAAATCCAGGGATGGGTTGCCCAAGTTCAACCCATGAAAACAATATCCTGATGACTAACCGGCATCCAAATGCCACTCCAGGTCATCCCCTTTTACTCGGCACAAACGCGCAAGATTCACCCACCTTTTGCCAAACTCTGATGAAGTGAGCCGCCGCCTTTCCATCATAATCTTGGCTTTAAGTGGTGCCTCATCGTTATTGAGGCATTTCAATCCAGGTGCCCGAGCTTGTCAATCAGATCATCACGAACGGACCCCTGACTAATAGTTGATACAATGCCCTACGAGACAACGCCTAGATGTTGGAGAGGACATTCAACGCCCATAAGAGGCGTTTCAGAGCACGACGACATTCGCGGTAGAAGGAGCATTCGGATTGGTGTGTACAGCCAGCCTCCTCCTCGTACGAGTGCACACTTCTCAGGGATGGGAAGTTTCTACGGACGTCTTCCTTCCAGAAGGCGCCCACCTCATCCGATTCGCGACACATTCGGTCTAAGAAGGCGATGCGAAGCCTATATTGACGAATCTCAATGCTAGGCATACCCAGATCGCCTTCAGATGGATGAAGGCAACAGATCTCTCGAGATACCATAGCTGCCTTGTCTCTCCACAAGAAAGAAAGCAAGAGCCTTACTAATGACATTAGTGTGGTATATGGAAGTGGAAGTAAAGAGAGTCGATAAAGGAGAATCGGGTAGAAGTGTGAAACACATACTTCCGCCCTCCACTTCAAGGAAAGATTCCTCCGAGACCACAGATTAACCGCGATCTCGGCCTTCCCTCGTACCTCCGACCAATTCATTTTTCAACTGGAGATCAGGACCGAACCAGACGCCGAGTATCTTGACCGGCCCATCCGTCCAGAGGAAACTCCCTTCACGCACCCAACCGCAAGCCAACAGACTTATCGCGGTTGATCTTGGCCCCTGTCACCATCTCATAACCACTGATCTCTTTGCTGACTTCGTCAATCTCGGCTCTGCTCGACACAAGAACCGAAACGTCATCAGCATAGGCAGAATACCTGGCCGAGGTGGTAGCCCCAGGCAGGGAAATTCCGCGCAGGACCGGATTCGCCTAACTTGTGAAGTAAGGTTCCAACGCAAGAACGTAAAGCAAAGGCGAAAGCGGGCAACCGTGACGAATGGAGCGAGACAATATGAAAGGCTCCGATCTTACCCCATTCGCTTCCACCAGCGCACCGGGAGTTGCATACAAAAGTCGGATCCAGGAGCGAAAGTCGGCTCCGAAACCGGCAGCCGAAAGGACAGCCTCCAGAAAGCGATAGTCAACCCTATCGAAGACCTTGGACTGATCTAAATTGATCAGTGCGGCTTTACTGTCGACTTGTTCTAAGATCAAGCGTACCATATGAAGGTTGTCCTGAATAGTCCTACCCTTCACAGCACAAGTCTGTTCAGAGTCAATCAGACTAGACAGGACAAGCTGCAAGCGGTTGGCTAAGATCTTCGCCAAAATCTTTAACTCTGTGTTTAATATGGTTAAAGGGCGAAAGTTATCTAACCCATCCCCACCGGTCTTGTCCTTACGCAGCAACATGATCATGCCCCTGGTGAAGCGTTGAGGTATAGACCCCTGCTTCATCCAGTGGTTGAAAATCAGTTCCAAAATCGACAAGATCAAACTCATCGATAAAGCCCCGAAATGATTTCACGTCCCGGTTGTTAGTACGCGGATTTTGCCCTATGCGATCATAATCGGGGTCAAGGAAGGATTTCCAATCCTCCGCTAAAACTACCCGACGAGATGTCGTAAAGAACGGCCCGATCTGCCGAAACAAAGCAGCTGCTCAGTATAGTTATTGGGCGCATAAACCCCAATGAGACGTAGCGCCTTATCCTTTATAGTAACATCCAGCACGCAAAGCTTGCCCGCCGGATCTGCGAAGACAAGAGTACATGCAGCCTTCAAAGACCTGCTCACTAGCCAAGACACCACCCTCGAACGACAATCAAAACATGCTGAATAAAGGGAGGACCCCTTAGACAGCATGTCTTCACGGTCATGAGAAGAAAACAGGGTCTCTTGCACACAACAAACATTCACCCCGAGGCGCTGAAGGTCACGAGAGAGCCTCGCCCTGCGAGACTCGGACCTCAGGCCCCGGACATTTACACTTGCTAACCAGAGAGCCATAGTGAAGACCGATTAGGGTTGAAGTACTGGTTTGAACATGGACGGGGTAAGGATATCGACCGCCTCTCCCATAGACCTATGGCCCATCTCAGCCTTGATGGTACCGTCTTGGGAGATTCCGCGATATCCCAGGGAAATGTCAGTTTTAGAGCTCTATACAGGGAGGGGTGAACTAAAACGGGGACCCTCTCTGCACAAAATTGTTTCAAATGAATTAATTGTTGATTTTCGACAATAGCAATCGGCAAGGCCATCTTATAAGACTTGATGGCCTCGTCAATCATTGCCCAAATCTGTTTCGCACCAGTTCCCGTTCTGATAACAGTACCCTTTGGGCAAGCGGGAAGTTTTGCGGCATCTCGACGTCCATGTCTGCATATTACCGTATAGATAGTAAGTACTTTAAGTCTTTAATGTGATTACCATAATCGTGGGCTCACTCAGCCTGAGCAGGGGAAATGTGGCAGACATCCTCCCCCGTGTTGAAGATGTGTTTCTGCAATTTCGGCTTTCTTTGCGCTCCTGTGTAGGGCTTCTCTGCCGTTTGGAAGAGGGAGGAGACATTTCTGCTTTTTTACCGGGGGATAGCCTGGGAGTATGCAAAGGGGCGTAGAGGGATCTTTGTTTAACAGGGGAAGGGCTGGGAGTATGAAGGGAGTGTAGAAAGTTCTATGTTTATCAGGGCTGGGATCTCTGCTGGGAGGACGAGATTTGGACGGTGTTGTCAGAGGGGAAGGTTTTTCTTCTTGTGTGAAGGTGTGGGCCGGGTAGAGGACGTGGAAGGAATAGGATTTAGGGGTTGAGACTGTTTTTGCTTGTTCAGTTTCTTTTTTAGCTCCTTTATTTTCTCCGATTTCTCGTACCCAAGATCATATTTTCTTTGTTGTTCTTGGAAAGATTGTTGAGAGGCCGGGGAATCGCCCTTAACGTCGCCAGACAGAGTGAGGATGTGTGTGCCTTTCGTCCTTGGGGCTTCAGGGGACTGAGGACCCGCTGTCTGGCGCTTCCCTCTGGCCTTACCAGCTACCAGCCATTCCCCCTCCCCCTTCTCCACAACTGCACTAGCAGCGGGCGAAGGCTCTTTGGGGAATGTGGCCTTAGATGTTTCGCCAACCGGAGGTTTAACCAACCCGGTCCCGGTAGCTGGCACGCCCATTACAGGCGAGGCGGTATGTAAAGACGCGGTCAGAGGGGGATTTTGGTCGTCTGGAGTTTGACCTCCAGAGGCCTTCTTCTCTGGGCAGGAGGAAGAGAGGTGACCAGTCTCTCCACACTTCCAACATACCGGTTTGCGGCCGGTCACAATGACCGGCAGCTTCAAGCGTCCAAGATCGAGACAATTGGGGATGGAGCGGAAAGCTTCTCGGTCCAACATGATATCAAAGCTCCCCCCCCCAGTTCAGGCTATCGCAGGAAGCGCCCATTATTTTGCCATACTGGGACAGGAACGCAACGAGATGTTCCCCAATAACCTGAGGAGGGAACTCATACACTGCTACTGTGGTCCTTCTTCAGCCTTCGTACTCCGTGCGCAGGATCAACTCTTTCGTTAATTCACGGCTCGATGCGGCAACGCAGTTTTCCGGCGTGGGTAAAAATACGTCCCACATGAAATATCCGGCTCCATTAACTATTCTGAGGGGCTTGAACCCAAAGGACTCCAGTGATTTTATCACTGTGTCTTTCGTCGAGCGACAAATTTTGCGCGTACGTTTGTCCACGACGAAAACTGACACTATTCTTTTGTCAATTTTTCTCAATTTTTGGTGGTCTTCTAAGAGTTCACCTTCTACGACAAAGTGAGCGTAACTCTTAGCTAGCTCCAATAACTCCGCTAAATTGATTATACAGCTAGGTGGGGACTTCCAACAAGAGGGCGATTCTCCGGCCTCTGAATTATCCTTATTCTTGTCTTTGTTTGGACCACTTTTGGCCTCCATGTTTGTCTCATTGTGGCCATTATTAGCCTCCGTACTTTTTGGACTTTGGCTATTTTTGGCTTCCATAGTTTTTTTTCCCATGTCATTATTCAGAGCTGTATCTGCTAAGACTGGGTACTCCTCCGGATCATTTTTGTCAGGTGGGTGTTTCTTTACAGAAAATAAATGTTTTTAACTGACTTCTTGAGATCAGCTATGTTAGGCTTTTTCTTCTTGATAACGAAGGATGTAGCTTTATTTTTTTTTCAATTTTTAATAATTTATACAACGGAAAGGGAAGGGGAGGGGTGATAAGAAACAAAGACCGCCTATAGGCGGGGGGGAGGGGGAAATGCTAAATAAAGTTCGCCTAGTAGCGAAATTTTAAAATGACAAAAAAATAAAAAAAACGCAAAACTCGCCCGAAAGCGAGACAGCAAACAAAAATAATTGCAAAAACAAAGAACAGATAAATACAAAGAAAATCACATGATAAACGAGGCAAGAAAAAAATTAACACGTACAATAAATAATAGACAAAAAATAAAGAACAAAGTTCGCCTAAAGGCGAAACAATAAATTTAAAAAAGGAAAACACGAAAAGAAAACCGAAAACGCTAGACAAAGAAAATACGAAACTTTCAAAACCATACGGAGCTAGTTACAAAAACAAAATGGCTGACTCCAAAACAAATAAACAAAAGAAAATCGACAATACAAAGGTTAGAACAAAATAAATAGACAAATAGACATTACAAAGGTTAGAACAAAATAGACAAATAGACAATACAAAATTGGAACAGAAAAACGAAACACGAAAAACTTAAAGGATAAAGAATTAACGGTTAGTCAACTAAAAACAAAGAGAAACACAGACATGGGTTACAAACAAAAGAAAACGAAGATATAATTAAAAGAGAAATTAAGGAAAAAGAAAATTAAAAAAGAAAACTGGAATAAAACGAAAAAGTGCAAAAATTAAGGGGGTAAAAATTAAAAAATTAGGAGGGAAAGAAAGGAAAAGAAAAAATCAAAATCTTTTCAAAACAGTCGTAAAAAACACAAAAGACAGGAATAAAGTCAAACTTAACCAGAAATAAAGTTCACCACAATAAGGGTAATATCCAACAAAACAGTCGGGCGGCAAAAACAGCAGCCAGAAAAGGTTAAAAAAAAAAGACTTGGTTACTGACTGCTTGAATCAAGTCAAGCGATTCTATTTATTGATTTTTTGGGTTTCAAACCGGCTCCAGATAGGTGAGCGGGAAAACAGATTTGTCGCAACTTGCTACATTTTTGGGGTGCTTTTAACCAATGAGAAGTCAAGTTTGAAAAAGTGAAGTGATGATTGGTTAAAGTTGATTTGGGGAATGAGTGCATTTTTCCGCCGGAGTAAATATGAAGGATTCCATAATACTATTGTATTTAATGTATTATATTTATACATTATTAGAATTAAAATAACAGAAAGTTTAAACTAAAATTGTTTTACATACCTCAATATACGCTGTATTGAATGGGAACTGGAAAGGGATCAAGAAATAATCATCGATGATTGAGTGTGACTTCCACAATGGCAGACGAGAGACGAGCGAGTAACTCCTCTGATAATAATAAGTTTCATTTCAGAGATTTGTTATGGATTGTAACATTGAATAAACAGATTTAAGCATATTATATTGGTACCAGCAAAATGGATGCGTTTTTTTTTCAAAATGAAAGCAAAAACTCGCTATCAACTAGTTTAAAAGATTTGTGAAAATCCGATTCAAACGAAATTTTCCCTACTTATTCATTAATGAATGGATTTTAGGCTGACTAGGTTATTTTATTAGTAAACTTTCTGAAAATATTTTTGGGTATCTTTTTTATCCCCCTTTTCGATATCTCATGTGTACTTTTTAATTCTGGGGGTTTGGTAGGGCTGTTCGCGAAAAATCTTTTGCAGTTATATAAAGTAAAATCTTTGAAAATTTTATATCAATATATATATATATATATATGCAATATCAAATGTGAACATACCGAAAATTTGATTTGAACTATACCACAAATAATTCAATAGAACTCAAAAAATAAATTTGTCAGAGATTTGGTACTTGCATCATTTAATAAAACAGATTATTTTAAAAAAAAAAGAAATCTACACCTAATATTTATTTTTTTTTAAATAGTTGTAATTTTTCAGTGCATTTTATTTTATTAAATAAAGACATGATTGAATGCCATTTTTAAGTGCGAACTTTTTTCAATTTAATTTTTTTTTCAATTTGCCAGCTGTTACATTATTTCTGTTATTATGTTCAAATAGGAAATAAATCTGAATTAACACCAGTGATTGAATACTCTTCCTCATCGAAAGAATAATATGATATATAATAATTCAGTAACTCTTAAATTAAATTGATATTTTTCATCAATAATCTTTGATAAAATTTCCCTAGCATACACTAGATGGCAAACTCATTTTGTATTCTAACATCAGATTTGTTGCTTTACTACCTGGAAATGGTGACCGGGAACAGCTTCATGTAATGCCAAAGCCGTCATTTGATATGTTGGCCTAAAATGACAAATAGGAACATTCAGATAACTAAATAAAATGCCATTTTTACTGCTTGCGCTTATAATGGATTGAAAACTGTCTTTCAAATGAAGTAATTACAAGCAATTAAAAATGTATTTTCTATTGCTAATAACTAATCAGAGAACTAGTATTGCTCTTATCAATAATATAAATGTTTAATGGAGGTATCACTAAAATGCACTTGCATTTTCGAATATAGAAATAAAAAACAGTTATGGCAGTTTTTAAATATTTAATATCAAAGAATAATCCTATTTAAATTATATTTTCAGTATTTATTCATTAATGAATAAATTTTATGTTGAATTGGCCGTTATTTTATAAAACTTTTATAAAAACTACTATGCGCAAATAAAGTTTATTTTCGTTATGTTTTAACTAAAAAAAACTATTGTTTTTACAAAATCCAGTTAATTAATCCTGAAATAAACTTTTATAACAAATAATGAATTTTAAAGAGGTTTCTAAATTTACTTTCATTTTTAGTCAATAATGAAGGTTCGATAAGTGACCGTGATATTGTTTTAAAAATGTCTAAAAACCTTATTTCTATGCGGAATATTATTGTTATCTTTTTACAGATTAGCAATCGCCTATCATCTTCCAAAATGTAGTTTCAAAGAATACATTTAGATTATTTACCTACATTTACGTACTTTGGAGGAAATGTATTCAAGCAGACTCTGCTAAGAAAAAATAAAATAGAATTTAATCTCAACACACATTTCTCGTAGCCGATGCAGATTCAAAATAAAAGAACCATGTTTTCTTCCGGATTTACTTCCATCAATATACATGGCTACAGGACCATCATATGACATTGGACGGATACTGAAAAATGAAAATCGTTTTAGTTTCTGAATTAGAAATGATATTTATAATACCAAATTTAAACCCTAAACAACACAGAGATTGATGTCTTTTTGTTAAAAAATGACACCAGAAGATCTCGAATAAGGAACTTTGTGGAGGCCAATACAAATTACGAGTTGTAACTGGTCAATCAACGTGAACCAAGCTTCATAGCTCTCCCCACTGCCAACAGGACGGACCGATATATATATATATATATATATATATATATATATATATATATATATATATATATATATATATATATATATATGTATTTTATACTCTTCTATGTCTTTTTATACTCTCTCATTATTCCCTGTATTTCTTGTCTCTATCGCTCGGTTGTTATCAAAAGATAATGTAACAATGTCATTTCTGGTGTCAGAGATATTTTTCTAGAATATTCTGGTGTTTTCTAAAGTTTCTGAAGATAGAGGTGTATTGAAAAGATGATAGACGTGTATTGAAATTGAAAAGTTTTACTCTACTCTGGATAACACCAAGGCTCAATGTAAATCGCAAGAAATTACAATCACGGGAGACCTGAATGTGAAAATAGGTAAGGAGAGAGAAATAGTTGGCAAATTCTGATGAGGAACTCGTAATGAACGCGGGAGGAAATGAGTCCAACGTTGCACAGCGTATGATCACCTGGTTTCAAGAACACCCAAGATGAGGAGCAGCCTTACACTGCAAGACATACCCAAGTGCTGGCTGTGGGAAGCGACCACCTTCATGTGATATGTAAACTGAGAGTGAAACTACAGAAATTGAAGAGTGCCACGACAGCACCCAAATTGCGGAAAATGCGACACTGAAATCGAAGGTAAGAGAATATTAAAAAAAAATAAGAACAATGTATTCAAAAGTATAATACAAATTATTCATGAAAAATCAATTTTATAATCAATGTTTATTGTTATGAAGAACAGCATCATAGAGAAAATATTAAATTAATTTTGTGATAAAATTCTTAATGACACTTTTGTCAATTTTGCAGAGAAAAACTTGTTTTTTATAATGAAGATAAAATTAAGACACTGCAAGTTAAAATAAAATAAAATAAATGAACCATGGACTTACTTCAGTGTCTTACATAATGAACTTCAATTAATCCAATAAAAAGAAACGTTGGTGTTTCTAGAGAAACGCATCGCTCCAAGAAATAATCATTTCTTTTTTCAATTTTATTTTTCATATTACTCATTTTTTTTCGTGTTAATCACTCCAGATCGTGAATTTTCTAAATTGTAATACAGTGCTTTCAGTTTACTAGATATATTTTTGTAAATAGATCCCATTAACAATATAGTTATACTACGTGATAAACAATATCTCTATAAAAAAAACTTAATATTTATATTATCTAATCGATAAAAAATCGATTAAAATGTCTCGATTTTAATATACGCCAATATTCATAATGTTCTATTTAACTATTTCAAAGTAAAAAGTTTGTATTTCTACATATAATTGACAACGACGACAACATTTATTTGAAGGAAATAACTAACATTTGCCTATGTAATAAATTAATAAAATATATTAATTATATATTCAAATATACGTTATGTATTATTTTATTATGCTAATTATATTTATGTTTACATTTCTAATTAAAATAAAGTATAAAATGTACAAGAAAGAATTATTGCAATACTCACTCCATAGGCAGATCTGGATAATCCCGGAATGTAGTGTTGAGTTTATCTTTTACCTTTTGGATAAGTAATTTGTATCTGTTCACTATATCTTCCTGAGATGAATATAAAAAATGATCATAATAAAGTGAAGTTTATAGAAAATAATCTTACAAAGCGCTTCTTTTTAAAATTTATATTTCCTGTGCATATCAAAATTGAATTCATGGTGAAATTATTCTAATGGGAACAAAGTACAATTTCGGTTTCTGATTTACATTAAATGAACCAGGCAGACGTTAATCTTCATTTGCTATTTTACTATACCTAGTTTCCTAGTTACTTTTGTTACAATTTTTTATATAATTCTTATATTTCTCACAGGATTTATGAAGAGAAAAACTCATTTAAGATAGGCTGTTAGAGCATTTATTTTTACAAACAATTTTTCTTATAGAATTTAGAAGCATCAATTTCACCAAAAAACAAATGACAATAATATTTTGCAAAACAGAATAAACTTACTTTAGTTTTTAAGAAAAACTCTGAACGCATGGACAGACTATTGAAGTATTCCCGAATAGTTCCATTAAATTTCTGTTTAGACATTATCTGAAAGTATTTGTCAAAAAATTATAAAGGGGATATAAAATCAGAAGTTCGTCAATTTAGAATAAAGTAAATGAATGAATTTATCACATTCAAGAGCAAAAGTGAACTTTTAAGTAATATACAACAATAAAAAAGAAATGTTAGACAAAATAAAATTGATATGCTGCTTAAATAAGTATTCCTATAACTGTTCATTCTTTGGATGGTGGTGAAATGTTATCTAATTAAATTTATAGACTGTAGTAATATTATATGTGTAATATCATGCATAAATGCAAATTGACAACAAAAATATCATGCATAAATGCAAATTGATAACAAAAACGTGAAAAATTCTCAATCCAACTAATTTCCCAAACATAAGAAATTTTTGAAGGGCATTAGGTAGGACTGAACTTTTCAGAGACTTCTTTTTTACAATTATCATTATAAAGCATGAAAGTTATCACATTTATGTCTTCCGTAAGATTTGTTTCAAAATGTGTCAAAATTAAATTTAATCACCTAAAAAATATATTTATGCATATTTAAGATTGTATTTGTTGTATATAAGTCTTTCGTATGATATGGCATCATTTACTTAGCAACAGATATATAACAACAGCTGCAATTAAAATTATGAGAATAATTAAGAAAGGAATAGTGCTCGAAATATAACGCTTTTTACCTATCAAAGTTATTTGAATCTTAATAAAAATATCAGGAATATAACTAAAAAATACAGTAAAATCAACCTTTTTCATGCATCCATGGATTCTGTCTATCTCAGAACGCCCTAAGTTATGCAAATTGTCAGCAGATATAGATGTAGATAAATGCCACCTGAGGTAATCATCGTATAATTTGCGCCCATTTGGCAAGGAGCTGATAGCTATATGTGGTCTGGTATTTGGGAGATATTCCTGAAAGAAACAAATGAGAGAATAATGTAAAATGTATTTAAAATGTTTCAATAATTATTGGATTGTAACAAAAGGTCAAAGCTTTATTCAATAAGTGAGGTTTAAATATGATTCCGTTTCGTACGTGACTGAAATTTATACCATATATACATATTCTGAAAGGTGACATTGCAAAATGGTTTGTTTTGGTTGTGTTTGGAAATGGAGCAATTTTTGTCCGTTAAATCGAGAACCACTAAAACATCGTGGCGATTCATATATCCGGTTTAAAATGCCATACAACGATTATATGAGATATGTGAAGTATGTTTGCGATGGCCCGTGTCGTGTGACCCTGATTATTTTTTATTAACGTTCTCGGTCTTTCTTATCAAAATCTCCACTTTGAAGCGAGCGAACTACTAACAGTACAATTTACAGTACGTCACAATCTCCATAAACAGCATATATCTTTTTTTTTACAGTTTATACAGCGATGTTTTTCTTTCTCGGAATAAAATAGCATTAAATGTAGGAAAAGGCATCTCATTTTACCCTGTTTTCACTTTTATCGTTGTTACGAGTATGCATTTCTATAAGAAGGGATTCCACTGAGTTCTACTTGTTATTACAAAAAAATTTTCATTCATGAAGTAGTTGTAAAATAGAGAAATTAGAAATAGAATGTTTGGAAGATTCTAGATCATTCTAGTATATTCGAGAAAAATCTAGATGATTCAAGAAACATCTAGAAATATGCGAATTAGGTGTTAGCCCCCTATAAAAATGGGATTTTGGAAAAGGGTTGTCAGTTGATGAATGGGAATTGACGTTGTTCTCGTCAATTTTTGTCCTTTATCGACTCTTGCGTGACTGGTTTTCTTGAATTTTACCCTTTTTCTGTGTTGATCTGCATTTTTGGTTGAGTTTGTTTCTTTTATTACTGCCTGTTTATAAGACTGTTTGAAAAGATTTTTGATTTTTCCTTTTCTGTTTTTTCCCTCCTCAATTTTTCATTTTTACCCTCTTAATCTTTTTTTACTTTTACTCCAGTGTTTCCTTTTTCTTTCTCTTTATTTTGTAACCCCCGTCTGTGTTACGTTTCTGACTAACTTTAATTTTTTGTATTTTCTTTCTTATCTTTTAATATCTGTTAACTTATTTCTCGTGTAGTGCTTTTTTCGGCCAAATTTGTCCTAGTCCCTCTCTTTGTATTGTCTAACTTGTCTATTTTCTTTTGTTTACTTTTTGACTCGCTTTCTTAGCGTCAGCCATTTTTGTTTTTGTAACTAGCTTCGGCTATTTTTGATAGTTTCGTATTTTTTTTGTTTACCTTTGTCAACCGTTTCATTGTTTATTTCGTTTTTTGTATTTTAAATTTATTTGTTTACTTTTTAGTTTGTATTTTTGTCTTGCCATTTGTTTTAATTGTTGTCCTTTGTAAAAACCTTTTTATTTATCGTTTTCCGTTATTTTTGCTGTCTCGCCTTCGGGCGACTTTCTCTGTCCAACTGTTATTTTTTCCCTACTAGGCGAACTTTACTTATTTAGGTTTCCCCCCTCACACACCGCCTATAGGCGTATTTTGTTTTTTTACCACCCTCCCCTTCCCTTTGTATTTTACCACCCTCCCCTCCCCTTCCCTTCCCTTTGTATTTTTTTAAAAAATGGAGAAGAAAAAAAATACTTCGTCTTTTCTTATAAAAAAGAAAAAAATTGTCATCCCTGACCTAAAAAGGTCTGTGAAAAAACATTTATTTTCTGTAAAGAAAAAAACACCTGACCAAGACGATACGGAGGAGTATCCTTCATTACCAAGTACTTCTGTAAATATGGAAAATACTCCCCATAAATCTACGGATGGCCAAAATGGCAAAAAAACTACAAGTATGGATGCCCAAAATGGCAATAATAAAAATTGTATGGAGGCCAAAAGTGCCTCAAAGTCTGACCAGAAAATGAATAATTCAGAGGCCGGGGAATTGCCCTCTTGTTGCAAGTCCCCACCCCGAGTTGTATTATCAATGTAGCGGAATTCTTGGAGCGAGCTAAGAGTTACGCACACCTTGTCGTAGAAGGTGGACTCTTAGAAGACGCCCAGGAACAAAGAAAAATTGAAAAACGAATAGTGTCAGTTTTCGTCGTGGACAAGCGTACACGCAAGATTTGTCGCTCGACGAAAGACACAGTGATAAAATCACTGGAGTCCTTGGGGTTCAAGCCCCTCAGAGTTGTGAAAGGAGCCAGCTTTTTCATGTGGAACGTATTGTTACCCACGCCGAAAGATTGCGTGGCAGCTTCGAGCAAGGACTTGATCACTAAAGATCTGATCCTGCGGACGAAATACCTAGGCCGAAGAAGGACCAGGGTTTCATTATATAAGGTCCCTCCTCAGGTTCTCGGGGTACATCTCGCGGCTTACCTGTCCCAGTTCGGCGAAATACTGGCCGCATCCTGCGATAGCCTGAGCGGGGGGTTGGGGTTTCGATATTCGTTTAGATGAAAAAGCTTTCCTCTCCATCCTGGTAGTAGGGAAATTGAAATTGCCGGTCATTGTGACCGGCCGTAAACCGGTATGCTGGAGGTGTGGAAAGACTGGTCACCTTTCCTCTTCCTGCCCAGAGAAGAAGGCCTCTGGAATTCAATCTCCCGTTGACCAGAATATCCCCCTCTGACCGAGTCTTTAACTACCGCCTCGCCTGTAATGGGCATGCCAGCTTCTGGGACCGGTAGGGAAAATCCTCCGGTTGGTCAAAAGACCACATTCCCCAAAGAGCCTTCACCCACTGCTAGTGCAGTTGCGGAGAAGGGGGAGGAGGAATGGCTAGTTGCTGGTAAGGCCAGGGGGAAGCGCCAGACAGCGGGCCCTCAGTCCCCTGAAGCCCCAAGGACGAAAGGCACTAACAGCCCCACTCCCTCTGGCAACATTAAGGGCAATGCCCCGGCCTCTCAACTGTCTTTCCATCACAAACAGAAGAAATTTGATCCCGGATTCGAAAAAACGGAAAAAATTAAGGAGTTTAAAAAGAAATTAGATAGTCAGCACAGTTCTCAATCCCAAAATCCAACTCCTTCCACGTCCTCTACCCGGTCCATACCCTCTCCTAAGAAACGAGCTTCGCCCCAGATAACTCCTTCCAAATCGCTTCCCCTCAGTAGAGATCCCAGCCCTTTACAGACATAGATCATTTTACACACCCCTCAACACACCCAACCCTTCCCCTGTTAAACATAAACCCTCCAGCACACCTCTGTATACTCCCAGTCATTCCCCTCTTAAAAAAGCGGATATGTCACCCCCACCCCCGCTTCCAAACGTCAAAGAAGCCCCTCACAGGAGCTGAAAGATAAAAAGAAGGCACAGAAGCCTATTTACAACACAGGAGAAGATGTTTTCCGTATTTCCCCTGCCCAGGCCGAGAGAGCCAGGGATTATGGAAACCGTATTAAGGACCCTAAATATTTGCTCTCAATACGGCAGTTTGCGGACCAAGATATCGAAGTGCCTCAAAACTTCTCGCTTGCCCAAAGGGTTCTGACAGTGATCAGAACTGTACCTGGTGCTAAGCAGATTTGGGCTATGCTTGATGAGGCCATCACTTCATATAACATGACGTTGCCTATTGCAATCACCCAGAACGAACAGTTGAAAAATCTAAAACAATTTTGTGCAGGGAGGGTCCCCGTTTTAGTTCACCCCTCCCTATTTAGAGCACTTAAATTGACTTTCCCCTGGGATATCGGCGGAATCTCCCAAGACGATATCATCAAGACTGAGATGGGCCATGGGTCTATGGGAGAGGCGGTCGGTATCCTTACCCAGTCCATGTTCAAACCAGTACTTCAACCCTAATCGGTCTTCACTATGGCTCTCTGGTTAGCTAGTGTAAATGTCCGAGGCCTGAAGTCGGAGTCTCGCAGGGCGAGGCTCTCTCGCGACCTTCAGCGCCTTGGGGTGAATGTTTGATGTGTGCAAGAGACCGGTTTTCTTCTCATGACCGTGAAGACTTGCTGTCTAGGGGGTTCTCCCTTTATTCAGCATGTTTTGACGGTCGTTCGAGGGGTGTCTCTTGGCTAGTGAGCAGGTCTTTGAAGGCTGCATGTACTCTTGTCTTCGCAGATCCGGCGGGCAAGCTTTGCGTGCTGGATGTTACTATAAAGGATAAGGCGCTACGTCTCATTGAGGTTTATGCGCCCAATAACCATGCCGAGCGGCCTGCTTTGTTTTGGCAGATCGCGTCGTACTTGACGACATCTCGTCGGGTAGTTTTAGCGGGGGATTGGAATGCCGTCCTTGACCCCGATATAGATCGTATAGGGCAAAAACAAGGTACTATAACAACCCGGACGTGAAACCATTCCGGAATGAACACCCTCGGGAGGTAGCATGGACTTGGACAAATAGTGGCAGCTCGGTTCCTGGGACGCTTGCTAGCTACCTCGACCGAGTCCTAGTTAGGAGAGTCGATGTAGGGCTCTTAGGGTGTCCAAGTTTCCACTATATAGTTTATACGGATCATAGGCTTGTCCGGGTCCGTGTAAACTTAGATAAGCCTAAGGCTAGGTTGGCTTTGTACTGGAAATTAAACTGTTCACTATTTGGTGAACAGGATTTCCAGGACCAGCTGTTACTAATGATTCAAAGGGAATTGACGGGGGCGGTTGTTGGGAACCCCTTAGAACAAAAAGTTGATCGGACTGTGAAATCCCGTGATAGTGGGGAAATAGCCTTAGCTAAGGCAGAGTTGTCCTCCTAGCTTATCAAGAAGGACCAAGATCTGGTAGTTAGGGCTAGGTTAAAAAGAATGTCCTCTGAGGCGAGGAATATGGCCGCTGAATTTCGTGCAGAGGAAAATCGGAGCGCAGCTCGGCGACATATCGCGTGCGTAACATTGCCGGATAATCGGTCCGTGACTACAAACGCGGGCATATGCGAGGCCTTTCGGGATTACTTTCAGAATCTTTTCACCAGGGAGCCCGGTCTGAGCCCTGCTCAGTTCGACGCCTATTTGGCCGACTTT